TATGTCTTTATGTCTTTATTTAAAAGAAATTCATACAAATAAATTGTATTAAGTATTAAATTTAACTTTGATGACAGAAATAGTAATTATTTTTAAGCTAATTTATTTATTTCTTAAAAATATTTAAATATATTTGTTAGAACTCCGCTACTTTAAATATATGTTCACTCTTATTGGTCGTTGCAACTGTGGAGCTTATTCAAATGCAACCTAATGCATATATGATTTGTCAATTTACATATATGTCAGCTGGTTGTCATTTATGCTTTCCTTTTTATTTAAGGTTGTGGAGGACAAGAGTAAGTAAAATAATTAATTTTAGGTATAAATACTAAATGAATATTTTATATAGTTTTTAAAGCATCACTATATCACTACATCACTATATCATAACATCACTATAATTATAAATAAAAAAATAAATTTCAAATATTAATATTGAGGTCGACACTAATACGAACATAATTATAAATAAATAAATATTGTACACAGATGTGAAGCTGTGAAAATTGATTTCTAGTAATATTCATGTCATATATATTCCAGAGATGTCTTTATTTAGAGCAAAGAACAAAAAAATGGTATTTAAGAGAAATTTTAAACCTAATGCCATAAATAGTAATTACTTGCTCTTACTAATTCTTAAAAATATTTAAAACTTTTATGTACTATTACTAAAATTCACGTGAATTTAACAGGAAGATGTTGCATATTTTAAACTTTTTTATACTAGAACGATTTTTTAAATGATATTTCAAATGAATTTAGAAAAATTTTATTAAAAAAGAAATGGAAATGTACCAAATATTTCTATTTTATTGAACTAAAAAAGTATTCTCTATCAAAAAACTATTCAGTTTTACAGTTTCATTTATATTAAAACACCACTTTTAGGAAACACCTCTTTTGCTCATACTAACCAAAACACTTTTATCAAAACAATCGCTTCAATTTATTTTAAAAATATTTTTACGACATTTTTGTAACAGTTTTTATCATTAAATGATAACAAATTGTGTTGTTTATTTTTTACATATAAATTTTTGTATCCGTTAAATAAATTCAAACATGTACAGAGTTAACAAAAATTTATGCTGAATGTGCACAAATTAAATTTCAAAAGCAGATATAAAAATATAGTACTGGGAATAATAAAAAATAAAAATAATGTATATCAGCACAAATTTGCTGCATACATTTTTTGATAAAATATTTTTACACGCAAATTTGCTGGTACACATAGCGTATGAGTAACGCAAACAGAAAGTTAGTGAAGCTTAATAATTTAAGTTAGTAAGTTTTCATATTTAATAAATTTATATAATATGGTTTATAATTATTTGTAAACAAAATTAAATATAAAAAATAAAATGTTGATGCTATCAAACGAATGTAAAATATATATATAAGTTATAATTTTATTCAATAAAAACATTTTTAAATCATCTGAGTACTTTGCAAGAACTGTTAATTGTAATTAACATTTCTGTTAGGTAAAACAATGTTATTTAATTTTTCCTTTACACAATTTTAAGGTTAATGCCCTATGTTAATTTCCATTCCTTTTTTTTTGCAATAAGAAACTTTGTCGTTCACTTTTAAAATATTTTAACTACTTCTTTTCTTATTTGAATTTCTTTTGTTTTTAATTTTCCTTTTCCGGTTCTTTTTTTTAATGCAACCCTTTTTGTTCTTTAGTATCTACCATGTCTACCTTGCACAACTCATAAATTGTAATTAGTACATCATTTTAAAATAAAATTAAATGGTAGTAAAATGCCTTTAAAAGTTAATTTATTATGTTAATGTAGAAGCTTATCAGTTGACGTCCATACCACGAAATGCTATTGAGTTTCTTCACCTGCTCCAAAAGTAATTACTTTCAAAGCTTCCGGCTAAAAACTTTTGCTCTCCAACAATCTATCAGTTTGTATAGCTCAAAAAGATCAACAAAATTAAGTAAAAACGAACCAAAAATCAAAGTCTAACTTTATTTTCAGTTAACTTTCTGTAGCTGTACTTTTTATGTTCTTTGTGTAATATTTGTGTTTTTCTTGTGCTTTTGTTGTGTACTTTTTTGGTTAATTTTTTGTATTTTTATTTTATTGTAGTTTTTTGTTGTTTGTTTTCTTTTTCTTTTTCTTTTTTTTTGTAATTTGAAAAATTTTATTGCATTTCCGAGTAATGTCGGCAAACTTTCTACAACTTACCTTCATTCTGCCCTTCAATCTAAAGAAGTAAATTTTTACGAGTAGTAAGTAACAAAAGCAGTTAATGTTGTTGTTGTTATTGTTGTTGTTGTACCGATGGCAAAAAAGTAAAAACTGCAGTTTAATTTATTGTCGACTTACAACAACTACAACAACAACAACAGCAGAAAACAACAATTTCAACAAATTCACAAAAAATGACTTTTCCGTTTTTACGCTTTTACTTTTGACTTTTCTGAAGACATAAATAAATGCAGCAGTAAATGCGCACAAATGATTTCACTCAAATATCCAAGAAGAAGCAGAAGAAGAAGAGAGGGAAAAGTGGCAAACTAACAGTTTTCTTAACACTTTTAGAAATATTTTATGTAAGCATTTATTTTTTATTTAAAGAAAAATAAAACGCAAAGATATACAAATTATGTAATTTAACTATTTGTATAAAAGTAAAATTTATTTACTTTTACTGTAGCAACAATAAAAAGTAGGAAAGAGTTTTCTATGTTAACTCAAGCAAATTAAAGCGGTTTGTGAACTCACTACGATCTGGCTATCCAAATTGTGTTCAGCTTAATGAAAGCCATATGGAGGTACTTGAATCATGTCCAGACAATTAAATGATATAAAAAGATAAGATGTACAGATGTTTTGAATATCTCCAAAATTCATCTAGCTAAATGAGAGGAATATAGATACTGCAGTTATATCCAGATAGATGTTTTCAACATCTCCAAGTATCAACTGACTTAATTAAAGGAATATACAGATACTGGATTTATGTGCTAAGAATAAAATGACATAAAAAGATAAGATGTGAAGATATTTTGAACACATTCAAAAATCATTTGACTTAATCGAAGGAATATGAAGATACTAGAGTCATGTGCTAAGAATGAAATGACATAAAAAGATAAGATTGTGAAGATGTTTTGAACATATTCAAGCATCATCTGACTTAATCGAAGGAATATGAAGATACTGGAATCATGTCCATAAAAAGATAAGATGTGAAGATGTTTTGTACATATTCAAGTATCATCTGACTTAATCAAAGGAATATGAAGATACTTGAATCATGTCCAGAGAATCAAACACAAGCAAGTGAGATATGCAGATGTTTTTAACATCTCCAAATTTCATCTGGCTTAATGAAAAGAATATAGAAACAGATAAGATGTGCAGGCATTTTAAACATCTCCAAATTTCATGTGGTTTAATGTAAGGAATATGGAGATATTAGAATCATGTCAGAACAATTAAAGGAGGCAAACATATAAGATATGCAGATCTTATTTATTTTCATCTCTAAAGAATGCTGCCAAACTAAAGCACATCTGACTTAGAATTCAGTGAATATTGTGAGTTCAGATCTAATAAGATTAGAGAAATTAGACACACTTATATATTCAAAATGTAAAAAAAATATAGCTTTAAAAATATATGTTTCTAGCCCAAAACCCGACAGATGTTGATATCAAAACGATGACTTCGTTTACGATAGAAGAAATAGTTTTATATACAATTGTTTTCGTCATCATAAAAAATTAAACAGGAATAGTTTTAAGAAATCCCTGACATTTTTCAATGTCATTTATTTAGATTTAAATAAAAATTAAAAAAAGTAGGAATCATATGATAGGTAGAATAATATGTACCAAATGATGATACAGAGATTCCAAGCTTTGTTTTGGTTTCAAAAGTTGCCTATTTTGTCTTAAACATTGTATTTATCAATATATAAGAATAAAATAATTTTCAAAACAGTATAAGGTGGTCTGGATTATACCAATAATATACAAAAATATTTTCGAAGTTATCTAATTCAGACCTATAGATTTTGAAGCTCAAGATTTTGAATGCTTAAGAGAATTGAATGAAAGGTTTTCTATAATGCTGTATATTATTATATTACTTCAGATTCGGCAATATTATTTACATTGTGACCGAAAAGCTTTCGGAAATTCTCATTTAAAATTCGCGCGCTGTATATTTTTCGATATTTTAA